GCTGATAGCTCAGAACCTGGAGTCTACTTTGGATTCTGTGTTTCCCTCTCTCCCTGATCCTCGCCCACTCATTCTCTCTCTCTCTCTCTCTCTCTCTCTCTCTCTCTCTCTCAAATAAACATTAAAAAAGAGAGAAAGAAAATAAGGAGAAAAATACCCTCATGTTTGGGGGGGGGGGGTTGTTGGGAGGTGGAGTGCCATTTTGAAATATGCCCAGAATATTCTCTTCTCCTCAAGAAAAATTATTTCACCAGAGCCTAACTGACCCAGGGGAAGGGAAATACCAAACTCTAGCCCCCTTCTAGCCTTTCTGTCTCCCCTAAAAGGAGGCTGAAGAGATTGAGTAGCACGTGTAAAGGTCAGAGCCCAGGAGTGCAGGCTCACTAAAAGACCAAGATCTAGTCATAGGACTTTCTGATGTTCCCCTCCTCACAACAACCCAAGCATCAGAACCGGACCCAGATCTGACAGGGATACTAGAATTATCAGACTGGAATTTAAAATAACTATGATTAATCTGCTAAGGACTCTCATGGAAAAAGTAGACAACATGTAAAAACAAGTAGTGTAAGCAGAGAGATGGAAATTGTAAGAAACAACCAAAAAGAAATGCTAGAAATCAAAAACACTGTAACAAAAATGAATGGCTTTGATAGCGTGGTAGATAGTAGACTGGACACAGCTGTGGAAGGAATCAATGAGCTTGAAGATAAGTCAATAGAAATGTTCAAAACTTAAATGCAAAGGGAAAAAATACTGGGGGGGGAAAAACAAGAACAGAATATCCAAGAACTGTTGGGACCATTCCAAAGAGTGTAATGTACACATAAATGAAATACCAGAAGAAGGAGGAGAGAAAGAAGAGAAGAAATAGCCGAAGCAACAGTGGCTGAGAAGTCCTCAACATTAATAACAATGTATCCATCTTGGCTCTTTTGGCCCTGTTCCAATTAAGGACAGGCCAGAAATCCTAGGGAGTTAGCTCCCCAAGAAAAGCCCTCCATCAACGACTGGGTGGGAGCTGGAAGATAATTACCCCAACTTCCTCGCTCCATGGTTGGGACCATGTGAGGCATATTCTACACTGTTTCCCAGAGTTCTCCAGTGGGGTCCAGCCTCCATGCCCACAACAGGACCCTGCTCTATCATATACCTTCTGTTGCCTTCCTTCCCTTCCTTGTCTCACTTGCCCATTTCCAGCAGGGCTTCTTGGGATCACTTGCCAGACGGAAGGCTTGCACTCAAATCCTTGGCCACAAGATTGCTTTCAGGGGTAGAACCTAGTACATATAGGTATGTTCGTTATGATGTATTACTTCTATAATAGAGGAAGATTTGAAAAAAGAATCACCCCATCTATAAAGTGTTTTCAAGCATGAACCTAAAGACAACATTTTGCCAGTGTATTATCTAAATAGCCAGTCATTTGATGTATTTGGAGGGCAGGGAACGGAGGAGTTACATGAGGGAGAGTTCTTTAAGTTGGATATTTGATATTATGGTGACCAGGCCGACTGTAATGCAGAAACAGGATAGGAAAACTTGTAATCAGTTGTGGCCCCATTATCCATTGACCATGTGCTATGTTTTTTTGTTTTTTGTGTTTTTATGTGCCATGTTTTTTGGACCTAAAGAACAGAGAAAACAAAACATTGTCCCTTTATGCAAATAGATCAAGAGTATAAACTGCTTTTGAGGTCTCTGGAATTCAAGATATATTGTTATGCTATTGTTTGAACAGCTAGGTGAAGTTTACTTTGTATTTTTACTTGACATATATTCACATTGCTAAGTATTTTAAAGATGACCTTAAATACTGGGTAAATACTAGATTTTAATATATTTTTAAATTATAGAGAAAGTGACTAAAACTCGGAATGGGAAAAAATTATCTCACTAAATTTAAGGCCATCTAAATGTTTGTGAAGGAAAATAGAAGAACACGTATTAAAATTATAAACTAATTTGTATTTAAATTGATAAGATAGGCTAGGGGTTTTGTTTGTTTCTGTTTTTCAAAATTTTGTTTGTATGATTACATTATTTTCATAACGAATACAATATTTGAGAAGAAAGTTTGCTTCTGCAAACAATACAAGATTTAATTAAAGAAGAGTTACTTTAATATTCATCTGTCTGCTTATTTAATTTGAAATTTCCACAATAGGAACAGAAGACTCAGGAAACACTTTGCAAAATGTTGTCAGCCACTGGGTTATTAAGCAGGATCTCCTCATAGATTTTTTTAAAGTCTATTTAGAGACAGAGAGAGAATGGGTGAGGGGTAGAAGAAGAGGAAGAAAGAATCCCACTGAGTGCAGAGCCCAACACAGGGCTTGAACCCATGAACTGTGAGATCATGACCTAAGTCAAAAACAAGAGTCAGATGCTTAACCAACTGAGCTATCAGGTGTCCCTCCTCATAGATTTTTTTAAATATTTAATTCTCTTGAAGTTTATATATTTAATTTGAGAGAGAGACAGAGACAACATGAGCAGGGGAGGGGCAAAGAGAGAGAGAGAGAGAGAGAGAGAGAGAGAGAGAATCCCAAGCAGGCTCCACACCACCAGCGAGGGGCCTAATGTGGGTCTCAAACCCACAAAACTGTGAGGTCATGACCTGAGCCAAAACTAAGAGTCGTACGCTTAGCTGACTGAGCCACCCAGGTGCCCCACATAGATTTTTTTTTAAGTATATTTTTAATAAACTTTTATTTTATTTTTAAAAATTTTTATTTAGAGAGAGAGAGACAGAGTGCAAGCAGGGGAGGGGCAGAGAGAGAGGGAGACATAGAATCCGAAGCAGGCTCCAGGCTCTGAGCTGTCAGCACAGAGCCCAATGAGGGGCTCAAACTCATGAACCACAAGATCATGACCGGAGATAAAGTTGGATGCTTAACCAACTAAGCCACCCAGGCGCCCCTTAATAAACTTCTAAATGATGTATAATATAAAAGGACAAAAGCTAGACATGCGGAGGTCAGTGAAATTTCAGTCAACTCACCTGTGTGACAGCCATCCTGTTGGAGAACTAGAACATCCCCAGCACCCCAGAATCCCCCATCGTGCCCCCTCCCAGTCATTACTACTCAGTCATCAGCCTGAGTGGGTGGCAACCATCAGCCTGACTTCTAACATCGTAGATTAGTTGGCTGTTTTTGAAGTTTATGTAAATGGAATTTACAGTATGAGTTCTTTTCTGTCCTGTTTCTTCAGCATATTTTGTGAGATTACCATGTCCTGTGTATAAGTGTAGCTCCTTCTCACCGTTTATGACTATGCCACAATTTATTTATTGTACTGTTCTGGGTATTTGAGATATTTCTGGTTTGGCATTATTATTAATGTTTGTACATTCTTGTGCACGTCTCTGGATGCACATGTACATAGGCAGTTCTATTAAGGAAATACCCAGGAGTGGAAGTTCTGGATCATTAGGTATGTGTTATGTTCAACGTTAGTAAATATTCTCAGTTTTCTAAGAAGGTTATACCAATTTCCACCCCACCGGCAGTGTGTGAAAGTCGTAGTCAATCCACATTCTTTGTCAGTACTTGGTATTTTCTGATTGTTGTCTTTCTGGTGGGTAGGTGTGGTATCTCGTGGTGATTTCAATTTGCATTTCCTTGTTGACGAAAGAGGTTAAGCACCTTCTTCCATCTTACTGACCATTTGTGTGACTTGCGAAATGTCTGTTGAAGTGTTTTGCTCAGTCTTCTATTGAGCTGTACCTTTTTCTTATTGATTGGTAGGAGTTGTTTATATAACCTGGATGCGAGTCCTGTGTGGGTTATATATCGCACAAAAACCTTCTCTTACTCTGTGATTATCACTTCACTCTCTTTATGGTGAACTTTCATAAACACAATAAATTTTTTTCTTAATGGTTAGTGCTTTGTGTATCCTGTTTAAGAGATCTTTGCCTACCCTAAGATATTGAAGATAGTTTCCTATGTTGTCTTCTTGAAACTGTATTATTTAAATTTTCACATTTAGATCTACTATGTACATGGAATATATGTTTGTATTATGATGTGAAGTAAAGGTCAAGCTGCTTTTTTTTTTTAAACATAAGGATATTCACTGGACTCCATCATTTATTGATGACTGTCCTTTCTGCACCATTCTGCTTTGCCAATACATAAAACAAGCGATTGTATATATGTGAGTCCATTTCTGGATTTGGGCTCTATTCTGTGCCAGTAGACTTCACAGATTTTTTAACTCATGAAAGACTTTCAGAAGGAGAAAGGGAAGGTTTAGGGGCATTTAATTAATATATATTAAATGTATATAAATTGTACAATTTATTACTATCATTTTATTTGTTTTAATTTCAAAGTTATTGGTTTTTCTCTTTAAAAACAAATATTCAAAAGTATCAGCCACTTTTTTTTTTTTTTAGTTATATAGATTATTATAGATAAAGGGATGCTGAGGTCAAATCCAGCAAACTTCAAAATGATTCTTCACGGGGTGCTTTGTGCCAAATGTTTAAGGCACTAAGATTTGCATATAATCTTTTCTTTTCTTTTCTTTTCTTTTCTTTTCTTTTCTTTTCTTTTCCTTTTTGAGAGAGAGCATGAGCAGGAGCAGGGGAGGGGCGGGGCGGGGTGGGGGGCGGGGAGAGAATCCCAAGCAGGGATCCCGCACTGTCAGCGAAAAGCCGGGGGCTGCATCTCACTAACTTCCAAACTGTGAGATCATGACCTGAGCCAAAATCAAGAGTCCGACACTTAACCAGGCACTCCTTGCGTATAATCTTTTAAAATTATTCCAACCAAGGTTAAAAATGTTTTATTAGAAATGTATTTGTCTAGAAAGCATTTTATATACAAATAATTTTTAGATTCCAATAACAATAGCATACATTTCATAGTTTAAGTGTACTGGGATATGAAATGTGGAATTTAACTTTGGTATCTTTGTAGGGAAGTGTCAGCCGCTTTGTTTTGTTCCGTTTTGTTTGTTTCATACTAGTTTATTTAGGGGTTCCATTTTCACTCTTCAATAGATTTTATGTATTTCTCGTATGCTTCTTCACTCATTAATGCATCCAGTTCTGAAGCATTACTGAGTGTTCTCTTGATCAGCCAACCATTTTCATAACAAGATTTGTTGATAAGTCCTGGATTTTCTACAAGAGCTTCATTAATTTCAGTTACTTCTCCTGATAGAGAATAGAATTCACAAGCAGCCTTCACACTTTCCAAAGCACCAAACTCGTCTTGTTTGGTCAATTGTGTCCGAAGTTCAGGCAGACTGCAGTAAACAACATCTCCCAAAGCTTCCTGTGCAAAATTGCTGATTCCCACTGTTCCTATACCATTTTCTCTTGTCACCCGTTCATGTTTGTGAATTTACACACGGACAGCAGAGTGGAGCCCAGCAGAGCGTCCTAGACGGCGCCCTGCTCAGCCTCCGCACCGCTTGTAGCGCCATTGTTATTATTATTTTTAATGTTTATTTATTTTTGAGAGAGAAAGTGCAAGGGGGGAGGGTCAGAGAGAGATGGGGACAAAGCATCCAAAACGGACTCTGTGCTGACAGCAGCAAGCCTGATGCGGGGCTCAAGCTCACAAGCCGCCAGATCATGACCTGAGCCGAAGTCAGAGGCTTAACTGACTGAGCCACCCAGGCGCCCCCAATCTCTTAATTTTAAATTTTTGTTCAAGTTTTTGAGTATATAATACATATTTGTGGCTCAAACATTAAAATGTCTATAAAGTTATACAGAGTAAAGTCTCTTTATATTTCTGTTGGCCCATTTAATTTCCATTTACCCTAAGAAGTAACTACTGCTATTAGTTTCTTACTTTTCTTTCAGATATTTTTAATGCATATATGTTACCAGGAAAATATCTTTCTCACTTTTTTTTGCAATGATAGTATGCTCTATACACTCTTCTGCACCTTGCTTTTTTAGACTTAACAACAGATCTTAAATATTTTCCTATAACAATGTAAAAGAGAGATTCCCCATTCTTCAATATGGCTTCATAGTGTTTTAGTTTATACATATAAAATAGAATATATATACATATATAATATATTTATGTATATGTATATATATTTATGTATATATTATGTAATATAGACATATATACATGTGTAATATATATAATATATAATATAATAAATATATGTATACATGTATATATATATTTATACATATGATCATTTAATTGCCCTGGTGAGGGACATTTTGTTTTTAGTCTTTCGCTATTGTAAATAATATGACAAAAAATAATCTTGTGTGAATGGTATTTGACCTGTGAGGGACTGTAATTGTGCGATAAATTTCCAGAAGTCCAAGTGTGAAGTCAAAGGGTCTCCTTGACCGACACTGACAAATTTCCTTAGAGGCCGAGGCTGTTCTGGTTTACACCCCCCACCACCAACGGACGAAAGTGCCTCTTTCCCAAGAACTTTGCTGGCATTATCATAACCTCGTCATTCCCAGACAGGGCACACAGTCCTCCATCCCAGACCGTGCCGATTAATTCAGAGAAGAGATCACAAGCTGGGTCAAAGGAAAGCATCCGTGGCCTTTTCGCTCAAGATAGCTGAAAGGAAGTCCTCTTTTCTCCGAGATTGTGAGGTGTAAGACTCAAATAAGCCTGGGGCTTCCCGGGGTAGCCTTCTGTGCCACCAAGGGTAGGAGCTGCCTGGGAACCAGCCAATCCAGGGAAAAGCAGAGCCAAGAGAGGGAGAATGATGTGAAGGAGCGCCCGAATCCAGGAGGCTGTGTGTGTCAACAGTAACTTCATCAGGGGCGCCTGGGGGGCTCAGTCGGCTAAGCGTCCGACTTCGACTCAGGTCATGATCTCACGGTTCAGGAGTTCGGCCCCACTTTGGGCTCCTCGCTTACAGTGAGGAGCCTGCTTGGGAGTCTCTCTCTGCCCCTCCCCCACCCACTCCCTCTCTCAAAAGAATAAACAAATAAACTTAAAAAAAAAAAGAACTTCATCGTTTGTTCCTTCTTTTTCTTTTTCTTGTTCCTCCTCCTCTTTTTTCCTCTTCTTCCACTTATTCTAATTTTAGTTTTTTTTCCTACAACTTGCAGTCTAAAGAGACTCAACTAACACAACTCCCCACGTTCAAGTTCTCAAAATAATTTAACATTTTAGTTCACCGAATAAGATGCTCTGTGTTTTACCTTCAACGTCATTCAACTCTCATTCACCTGTGGTTTTCTGTTACATAATTCTCGTTTAATTAACAAGTCGTCCAACATTGAACATCATACCTGCAAGGCCCACTGTAGGGACTGTGGGAGGTACGGTCCCTTTCCTTCAGGTGCTAAAGCCTGGGTGGGAACCCGGCATTCACATTCATCAGGGAAACATGATTGGCACCATGGGGAAGATCACTAAATGCCTAACCTAGCGGACAGGAAGCCAGAGTGGAAAAGCCTCACTCTTCCCTGGGGTAGTTAGGAAAGAACTCATGTAGAAGAGACACGACTTTTGGGTTTTAGGGTTTTATTGTAGTGGATGGTACACTGACATGGTCCCACATTCAGAAGGTACATCATGTAATGTATGCTTGACAGCTTAACAACGCTGAAGTGCCCAGGTCAGTGGCACTGAGTCCATTCACATGTCGTGTTACCGTCACCACCGTCCAGACCCAGAACTCTTTTCATGTCGCGCGACTGAGACCGTCCCCTTTAAACACGGACTTCTCCTCCCCACTGCCCCCAGGCCCTGGCGAGCACCGTTCCACTTTCTTTTTCTATGAATGTGACTGCCCTAAGTACCTCACAGACGTGGAATCACACAGTATTTGTCCTTTTGTGACTGGCTTCTTTTACTAAGCATAACATCCTTAGGTTCGTCTATGTCGTAGCATGTGTCAGAACATTCTCTCTTTTTAGGCTGCACGATGTTCCATTGTGCGCGTATACCACACCTTGTTTATGCGTTCAGGTTTTTCAGAGTTCTTACTCTCCTGATGTCCCACTCCTTCATGATTTGTGCCCCCAAGCACCTTTCTAGAAGGTCAAGGCCTTACATGACTCTTCTTTATTGGGCGGAAGGACCTACTGGCATGACTGTTTTTTCCCAGAGACAAGGAGCTGACCTCCAACACCTCCAGAGGTGAGAGGCCTCGTCTCTTAGCTTGGTTTCTTCAAAGAAACACTTCCTTTCAAAGCCCTTCAGGCTGTCAGTCCTCTCAGCCCAGATGTCGTCTGGGAACTGAGCTCCCAGTGCTGACCCGGAGCCCATTAGCATCCTGCTGAGCGGCTTCTGGCAAAGGCCTCCGAGTGGATTTTCTTCGGAGCCTTGGCAGGGAGCTTCCAGAAGTGCTGCCTGTTGTCACCCTGCCCCACTCATTGGGTGCTGAGGCATGTCGTTCTTTGGGGGGAGAGAGGCCCTCTCAGCTACATCCTTTCAGACGCTTTATCTCTCATTCACCTGGGACCTTTTGTGCCACCTGGGGCCTTTGCTCAGTCTTTCACAGGAAAAGATGGGGGGCCACTCAGTCTCCTTCAGTCTTTTTCCATTGCTTTTTCACCTTCTTAAAAAAACAAACAGGGGCATCTGGGTGGCTCAGTCAGTTAAGAGTGTGACTTCGGCTGAGGTCATGGTCTCACAGTTCGTGAGTTGAGCCCTGCCTCGGGCTCACTGCTGTCAGAGCAGAGCTGGCTTCTGATTCTCTGTCTCTGTCTCTGTCTCTGTCTCTCTCTCTCTCTCTCCCCCCCTCCCCACCGGTTCTCTGTCTCTCAAAATAAATAAACTTAAAAAACAGCGCAAGACAATCGTGCTGTCCGAGAACACCCTTGTTCTTAGGAGATACACTTACGTGGTTCACGTGGCGAGTGCACCGGGACGCCGATGAGCTGCAGACAAGCCCGTTCCTGGATATTTAGGGGTAAAGGAGTGCAGTACCTCCATTTTACAAGTGATTCAGGAAAAAATGCGTCTACACAAACAGGCAAAGGAAAGGGGTGACAGGGGCGCCTAAGTGGCTCAGTCACTTAAGCATCTGACTCTTAATTTCAGCTCAGGTCATGATCTGGTGGTTCGTGAGTTGAAGCTCCACACCACTGTCAGCACACGGCCCTCTTGGGATTCTCTCTCTCCCTCTCTGCCCCTCCCTGGCTCTCGCTTGAAAGAAAGAAAGAAAGAAAGAAAGAAAGAAAGAAAGAAAGAGGATGATAAAACAAATAGGGTAAGATGTAAGAATTGGTGAGTCTGGTGCCGTGGGTTGAACGTTGTGTCCTCCGAAATTCACGGGTTGAAGCCCTAATCGCCAGTGTGATGACAGTTGGAGGCAAGGCCTTTGGCAGGTGATGAGGGCCTCAGAATAACAGTAGGTGGAGCCCTTGTGAATGGGATTAGTGCCTTTAAAAAAGAGACACCAGGGAGCTCCCCCACCCTCCACCATGTGAGCACACGGAGCGAACACAGTCATCTGTGAATGTGGAAGCGGGCTCTTGCCAGGCACGGAATCTGCTGTCACCTTGATCTTCAGGTTTCCCAGCCTCCAGAACTGGAAGAAATAAATTCCTGCTTTTATAAACCACTCGGTCTACGGTATTCTGTTATGGCAGCCCAGACAGACTAGGACAGAGGGGAATTCTCAACACAGCAGATTATCGGATATGTTTATATGAAAAATTGGATTGAAAGGCTGTTGGAGGGTATGTGCCAGAGAAAACAAAGTAAATGAAAAGCCAAGGTAGATATTAACTTGGGAGGTGGGGTGGGGACGAATTGGACAAACAGTGCAATTAAAGCCCAGTAAGTCAATAGGCTCAGCATTCATTCGCTGCAGGTGTTTACTGATAACCTTCTACACGCCAGGCATGTTCTTAAGCCCCCGGGGGACACAGTGGTTAACAAAGTCCCTTCTGTCAATAAATATATAATCAATATTTACATCAATAAGTATATAATGTAATGTCAAAGGGTGTGTGTGTGGGGGGATAAGTCTGTGAAGAAAAGTACAGCTGGGAAAATGGATGAAGAGGGGGAATGATTTCAGATAGGACAGTCTGGAAAGACTTCCCTGATCAGGTGATATTTGAGCAGATCCATGAAGGAAATAAGGAAGGATTTCAGGCAAACATCAGGGAGGAGAGTGTTCTGACAGCGGGAAGAACAGGTGTAAAGGCCCTGAGGTCAGAGTACAGCCTGGTCGCATGTTGGAGGAACCAGGGGAGGCCACTGGAGAGGCACACAGCAGGGGGAAGGGGGAGCCCAGATCTTTAGGGTTTTACAGGACACGGCAAAGACCGGAACGATTCATAATCGTAACGAAGCACACACTGAATGCTGATCTAACTAAAACTTGTGGCAAGAGGATGGAGGCAATGCAAAATGTTAAATCCTCATCTACCATATCAGAAAGTCAATAGGTAACAGTGGTAACAACAAATTTGAGAATAAGCGTATTATTTGGAAATGTGGAGGTAAATACCAGAAGAAACAGCTAAAAGAGTGGACCATGGTTGCCTCTGGAAAGGAACCCGGTTGAATGGCAAGAGCGTGGTGACCGAGGCCACTGTTGATTGTTACGAGCATTTTGGTATAATTTTTCAGGCCGTATGCCATATTGCACAGACAAAACCACAAAAACAGAACAGGAAACAAAACCCACCAGAAAACCAAGGAGTGACCTCCCATGTCCTAGTTTCATAGGCAACGGCAGGGGGCAGGGATGACCTTCCGTTCTGCTGAAGGTCACCGTGATCGCCCCCCGTGGCCTGGTTCGGCTGTTTGGAAAGACCCGGGGAAGGCTGCTCCCGCGTCCCCAGGGCGGCCAGCAGGCGTGTGCGGCAGATGTCTCGGGAAGCGCCCTCTGAGCGCTCCCAGCTGCTTGGACTCTTCCTCACGAGACAAGGCTTGTGCGCAGAACCACCTCCGCTCAGTGATAAGCAGCAGCCACTGCGGCAGGCTGGGGCCTATGATAAGGGATGGACAAGGTTTGAGCTGAAAACCATACCGAACATGGCATTCTTGCTCTACTCCCCAACGCCGTGGGCCACGTTCAGTGGGAGAAGTTACGGGAAAGAACCTCTATTCGCTGAGTGTTCACTGCACTTTAGTTTATGTGCTGAGGCTGTATATATGTGATTTCACCTAATCCTCACAAACAGCCCTGTGTGTTTAATGCCGCAAAGCCACACATTTAAAAATGGTTAAGATTGTAAATGCTATGTTACGTGTATTCTACCATAATTTTTGTCACTTAAAAAATTTTTTTTTAACGTTCACTTATTTTTGAGAAAGAGAGCAAGCACACAAGTGGAGGAGGGACAGGGGGCGGGGGGGAGACACAGAATCTGAAGCAGGTTCCAGGCTCCAAGCTGTCAGCTCAGAAGCCGGCTCTGCACCGACAGCAGTGAGCCCGATGCGGAGCTCGAACCCACGAACTGTGAGATCATGGGCCTGAACCAAAGTCGGATGCTTAACCAACTAAGCCACCCAAGTGCCCCTTTTTAAATTTATTTTTGAGAGCGAGAGAGAGAGAGAGAGCAAGCAGGGGAGGGGACAGAGAGAGAGAGAGAGAGGGAGGATCTGAAGTGGGCTTTGTACTGACGGCAGAGACAGCCCGATGCGATGTGGGGCTTGAACTCACAAACTGTCAGATCATGACCTGAGCGGAAGTCTGACGTTCAACCAACTGAGCCACCCAGGCGCCCTCTACCATAATTTAAAAAGAACAGCAACAACCTTGTGTGGAAGGTATTGTTTTTGTTTTCCAGAAGAAGAAACGGAGGCTCAAGAAATTAAAAAACTTGTCCCGGGGCGCCTGGGTGGTGCAGTCGGTTAAGCGTCCGACTTCAGCCAGGTCACGATCTCGCGGTCCGTGAGTTCGAGCCCCGCGTCAGGCTCTGGGCTGATGACTCAGAGCCTGGAGCCTGTTTCCGATTCTGTGTCTCCCTCTCTCTCTGCCCCTCCCCCATTCATGCTCTGTCTCTCTCTGTCCCAAAAATAAAAAAAATAAACGTTGAAAAAAAAAATTAAAAAAAAAAAAAAACAAAAAACTTGTCCAGCTAGTAGGTGTGTGAGCCGTGTGCATCGGGCTTTGATAGTTTTCTGCCCTGTCGGGAGGGCTCAGTGATAAGGAAGAGACTAAATGAAACGGAAGGAATGGGCTCTAGGGGGGAATCGGAGTCTTCCTTTAGGGCCTCACGGCTGTGCCCGCTACCAGCTTGGTGCCCCTCCCTGGCGCAGGGAGCAAACGCGGGAGTGAGGTGCACTGATGAACATTCCGCAGCTCAGCAGCTCTGGGAGAGGGGCTCCTGCCGGCTGCTCGTCCGTCACCCAGGAAGGCCACGTCGGGGACAGGCTGCGTATGTCTGCAGCAGGTGAACACAGAGCTCTGAGACTTCTTAGATACGCCACGGGAGGTTCCTTTCACTCGATTTCAGGTTCTGAATTAGCTGAATTTTTGGATGATGCAAATCTGATTCTTTCCCTGCAGGAGTCGGAGGAAATGACAAGTGCTTGGCAGAGGGCAAAGAGAGCATCAGCATATCGTTAAGATGCGGTTGGGAGAGCAGGGGTGTGGTGGGGCGAGGGGAGCGAGGCTTAAGAGGGCAGGTGAAGGGATGAAGGATAATTACAATAATAACACCATCCAGCACTTCTGCAAAGCATGCTGTGCGGCAGGCACTGTTCTAAGCACTTTATGTGTATTAATTCATTTAATTCTCAAAACCGTGCTAGGAGCTTAGTATCAGTTATCAGTTAGCTAAAGAGTACACAGTTTATAAAGCACTGAATGATCCTATATGCCAATTTCTACCTAACAAAAGTATTATTTATAAGACACAAAACCTAGAAACTACCTAAATGTTCAACAACAGGGAATATTATAGCCATGGGATTTATGGAGACATAAGGCCATCACATTACCTCCCTTAATCTTTACAACAACCCTATAAGAGAGGTGGGGACCCATTTTACAGGGATGGAGACTGAGGCTCAGAAGCCTAGTAAGGTTAGATTTGAAAGTCGATTTGAAACCCAGCCCCATCTAACTTCAGGACCCAAGCTCTTACCTACCATGTTATCCCGCCTCGAAGACTGGACGATAAAAGGTGCTGCGCAAAACTGCCATTCAGCAGGACGACAGTCACATAAAACCTGAGGCTGTGGGCAAATGCCAGTCATGACTACAGTATCTGAACTGGTTCACTGAACCTGTGAAGTCGTTCTAAGTAAGATCCCCACAGGAAGCCCGGGACAGGGCATCCTTTCCCCCACCTTCACTGGTAACAGCCCCGTTTAGCAGTCACCATGCCCTGTGCCGCTTTGAGCTCCCGGGCCTTTGCGTCCTGGGTTCCAAAGCGAGAGAGGTGGCAGAAAATGGTGCATTTCTTTCTCGGGTTCCCCTGGGACCTGCTGACCCGCCTGGACGAACCGTCCGCTGAAGCCACACCTGCTTGGAGCAGAAGAACCCGGCCGGGGCGTCTCCGAGGCCGGCGTTTCCGCCGCGTCCCACGGCCTCCGGGAGCCGGGACTCCACGCACACGGCCCCCTCTGTGCCGCGGACGCCTGTGTCCTTACGTGCACTGTCAAACGTCCAGGGGTCTCGGGGAAACTCGGCTCCTTCGGCCGCCACGAAGCAGACCACGCCCCCAGAGCTGGTTAGCACTGCTGAGTTTGCAGCCGACCTCAGAGGGGAGGCGAGGAGGCCGCCCAGTGTCGTCACCTGTCGGAAGTCCTTTGCCCTTTCCCACCAGGGCTGGCTTCCTGCCACCGTTCTGGCTCCGCTCCATGTCTTTCGTGGGTCCCCTTGACCCTCCTCTCCTCACTGGTCTCCTGTCTACAGGAGCCAAGGCCGGAATTCCTTCCTCTGCTTCGTGCACAACAGCTCGCCCTCCCCGCCCCTCCCCTCCCTGCCAGTTCCACTCACAGGTCACACCGACCCCGGAGACTCCAAAGGTTTTCTCCTCAAAAGACCCTTCCTTCCTTCCTTCCTTCCTTCCTTCCTTCCTTCCTTCCTCTCTCTTTCCTTTCTTCTTTCTTTCCTGCTTTCTTTCTTCCTTTTTTAATATTCTTATTTATTTACTTGCTTGTTTGTTTGCTCTGAGAGAGAAAGGGCACACATGAGCAGGGGAGGAGCACAGAGAGAGGCAGAGACAATCTTAAGCAAGCTCCACACTCAGCATGGACCTGGTGGGGCTCGATCCCACGGCAGTGAGATCCTGACCTGAACAAAAATCAAGAGTCGGATGCTTAACCAACTGAGCCACCCAGGCGCCCAACACCTCCTTTCTTTTTCTTTCTTTTTCTTTCTTTCTTTCTTTCTTTCTTTCTTTCTTTCTTTCTTTTAAATTTTTTTAAACGTTTATTTATTTTTGAGAGAGAGAGAGAGAGAGAGCATGAGCAGGGGAGGGGCGGAGAGAGACACACACACAGAATCTGAAGCAGGCTTTAGGCTCTGAGCCATCAGCACAGAGCCCAAAGCGGGGCTTGAACCCAGAGACCCCAAGATTATTACCTGAGCCGAAAGGGGACACTCAACCGACTGAGCCACCCAGGAGCCTTCTGACACCTCCTTTCTTTTTTTTTTTTTTTTTTTGAATTTTTTTTCAACGTTTTTATTTATTTTTGGGACAGGGAGAGACAGAGCATGAACGGGGGAGGGGCAGAGAGAGAGGGAGACACAGAATCGGAAACAGGCTCCAGGCTCTGAGCCATCAGCCCAGAGCCTAACGCGGGGCTCGAACTCCCAGACCGCGAGATCGTGACCTGGCTGAAGTCGGACGCTTAACCGACTGCGCCACCCAGGCGCCCCTGACACCTCCTTTCTTAAGAGGAATTCTAGTACCCCCCGCTTGGGGGGCGGGGAAACGTTACTTTAAAAAACTTTTACATTTCCATTCATCCGAGCTTACCCAGAAAACAGAGGTTTAATCGGACATTCTCTTAGAACGATGCCTGTAAAGAAGGAGGGAAGCAGGACTGAATAGAGGGAGATGTTAAGGTTCCGTGCAGTTGCAATGAGTCTTCACCTAATCCCACAGCAAGTTCTGGAGGTGCAACGGCCCTTGGAGTTACGCCATTGAGGCCAAAGGGGCCAGGCCTCTGTCCTCTGCTTTCCACACACACATTGACTGGTCGTGCACTGTATGGGAGACAGCACAGGCTCAGGACCAGTCGAGACAGGGACAGAGCAGGCCAACGCCCAGCGGCTGAGGGTGTGAGTGCCTCCCTCCTCAAGGCGGGACGTGGATGGTGCACCGCAGCAGCCGCTGCAATAATAATAATTTTATAGAAGGGTGAAACAATCTCAGTGCCTATCTATTGGGGATTTGATAAATAAACCGGGGAACATCTACACCAAAGAACACTATATAGTTGTTAAAACTTATTTGTTGGGGCAGCCACGTGGCTCAGTTGGTTGAGCGTCTCACTCCGGCTCCTGTCATGATCTTGCAGTTCACGAGATTGAGCCCTGCATCGGGCTCTGTGCCGAAAGCTCAGAGCCTGGAGCCTGCTTTGGATTCTGTGTCTCCCTCTCTCTGCCCCTCCCCAACTTGCACTCTGTCTCTCTCTCTCAAAAATAAACATTAAGGAAAAATTTTTTAAATAAAAAAACCTTTGTTTACTAACGTAGAGTGATAGGATATATTATTATTATTATTATTGTTATTATTATTATTATTTGGAGAGAAAGAGTGCGAGGGGGGGAGAAGGGCAGAGAGAGAGAGAGAGAGAGAGAGAGAGGGAAAATGAATTTTAAGTAGGCTCATGCTCAATGAGGAGCCCAATTCAGGGCTTGATCTCACGACCCCAGGATCATGACCGGAGCCGAAATCAAGAGTCTGACACTCAACTGACTGAGCTACCCAGACACCTGTCAGGATATATTCTTAAGTGAAAAAAGTGAGTTGCAAAACAGTACTATCTCATGACTCCATTTTTATATTTAATAAATAAATAGTCTAAAAGTATCGAGTCCAAACTTTTAATACTGACTACCTCTGGAGAGGTGATTATACAAAAAAAAAAAAAAAAAAAAAAAAAAAAAATTAACAATAAACATTACTTTCACTACGATAATCTTGAGAGTAAAACGTTTTAGGAAAAGATTTTCTTTTTAAGTCATCTCCACACCCAACGTGGGGCCTGAACTCACAACCGTGAGACCGAGAGTCCCATGCTCCACCCACTGAGCCAGCCGGGCGCCCCAGGGTAATACTTTTCTGGAAAAAAAAAAAAAAAAAGGTCGGAGCCAGTTGAAACCAGGTAGCTGTCGATGAAACGTCAGTCAAGGCAGTGACTGTTCTTGCCGACCTGAATTCCTCTCCGATCCCTTCTCTGGAAGAAATGGCATTTCTCTCCACTTCCTGCCTTAAATTGTGTGGCAGCCCGTGCAGCTGTTGAGCAGCTGTCGCATCCCCTTCCCACACCGAGGTGGCTGCGAGCACCTCTGGAGGAGGCTGTTGGCTCCGTGTGGGCGCGGGAGGAACAGGAAGAGCTGGGGTTGCCCAAATTCCACAAAGCCCCGCAGCACACCCCCGGGCTGCAGCTGTGGCCGGCATCCCTCGCTCAGGGTGGGAATCCTGGGCCGCTCCCTCCTCCCCTGTCCTCCTCCTTACCATTACCGTTGTCATCACAATAACAGTTACCGCTAAGTCAGAGTTTACCCCCGGCCTCGCGATGTACCAGGCGCTTTAGATTCACGATCTCCTTTCCGCCTCGCAACAGTCTTACGCGGTTATATACGATTATCTCGGTTTACAGACAAGAAACTGAAGCCTTTGCCCAACCTCGTGAATATACTCAAGACCGCTCAACTGTCCACCTTAAATGGGTGACTTTTATGTCGCCTCAGTAAAACTGGTTTTAAAAAAGAGAAAAACTAGGCACCCGGGTGGCTCAGTCGCTCAGTCGGTTAGGCGTCCGACTCTTGGTTTTGGCTCAGGTTGTGATCTCACGGTTGGTTAGTTCGAGCCCCACGCTGGGCTCTGCGCTGACAGTTCGGCACCTGCTTGGGATTCTCTGTCTCCTCGGTCTGCCCCCTCCCTCTTGCTCTCAAAAAAAAAAAAAAAATCAACATTAAATAAAAACAATAAAAAAGAGAAAAGTAAAGTCCACGTAGGTTAGATAACTTGCCCAAGAGCACAGAGGCGTAAAGTGGCAGGACGTTGTTAGCAAGAAGGAAGCAGGCAACGGATGCCGTGCAGGGTCTCTTACACCAGACCCTCCCGACTGTCTCAGTCCACCAATATCTCAGTCCGTGGAGGTGACGGGTCGGGAGTGGGCAAGCCATGTGGGCATTCACTTCTAGCTGTGAGCAGCAGCATCTGGGCTCCTCAGAGCGTGGCTCTAACAGGATGGGGTGGGGAGGGGCTGGTATGAGAGAGAAAAATGAGTGACATCTGTCACTGGATGCCCCATGTCGCAAATGCTCGAGCTGTGCGCAAGGTGGAGCAAGGGCCGGAGGAACTGCTGGGTTTCTGTCTAGTGTCCCGGGAGCCCGGTGTTCAGCTAAGGCAGTGGAGAATGGATGGGGGGGGGGGGTTGCTGGTGCGGGGAGAAGGCGGCTGATGGAGGGGCTGCATCAGGCTGGGTCCCAGCTCACTGTCCTCCCCCATGCAGGCACCTCCCCATGTGCCTACAAAGTGGTATCCAAGCTAGGGGGCATGGGTGTTGCTCTAACGACACGTGCATGTTCTACTAACGAGACCATCAGCATTCTCTTGAAATAGTTGGTGTGAAAAAAGTTTGACGGGTTTGAAATCCTTTGCCTTATCACAAGAAATTTCCATAAGAGCTGTTAAACTCTTTAAAGATAATTTCAACTGCTGTAAAAATTTGAAGGGTGATAAAAACACTTAAAATTTTTTTATCTCCTACTTGGGCAAAATTTCTCATTGGTGGTGATTACCAAGGACTTGAATAGATCATTATCTTAAAATCTCCATTGGCAATTATTTATTGCGAGTCATATAAAAAAGTTTTAAAAGGGGTGCCTGGCTGGCTCCGTGGGTGGAGCATATGACTCTTGATCTCAGAGTTGTGAGTTCTAGCCCCACGCTGGGTATAGATATCACTTAAAAATACAATAAAATCTGGGGGCGCCTGGGTGGCTCGGGCGGTTAACTGTCCAACTTCAGCTCAGGTCACGATCTCGCGGTTCATGGGTTTGAGCTCCATGT